TTCTTTCTGCTTTTTTAGCTAATATTCAGCTGTTTTTCATTTTTGCAAATTTCAGCTTTTATCGGATAATTTCTGCCTTTTTTGCTTATTTCTGCTTCTTTCAGCCTAATTGGGCACAATTGTGCTCTCTCCTTCCTTCTGAGTATTTAATTTTATTTCTGCCTTTTTAGCTACTGTTCAGCTGTTTGTTTGTTTTTTCTAATTTCAGCATTTTTTTTGTTGTTGTTGCTAATTTTCTACTTGTTGTGCTAATTTCTTCTTATTTAAACCTAATTCAGCAAATATGTGTTCTTTCTGCTTTCTTCTGTTAACTTAGGCTTGGTCTTCCATTTCAGCATGTTTTTTTTAGCTACTTTCAGCTGATTTCAGCTGTCTTTCCGTTGTTTTGTGCTCCTTTCAGCTTTATTCTTCTACCTACAACATTTTTTCTTCTTCTCTTCTTCTAACTTTTTTATCTTAATTTCAGCTGATTATTCTCCTTCCATCTTATTTCTGCAAGCTTAAGCTATTTCTGCTATTATTTAGCTGTTTTATGCTAATTTGAGCTTTTTCAGCTACCTCCATATTTTTTTGCACTCATTTCAACTTTTTTCAGCCTAATTCAGCAAAAATGTTCTCTCTCAACTCGTCTGGTAATTTAAGCTTCTTTCTGTTTTTTTAGCTAATATTCAGCTGTTTTTCATTTTTGCAAATTTCAGCTTTTATCAGATAATTTCTGCTTTTTTTTTTACTTATTTCTGCTTCTTTCAGCCTAATTGGGCACAATTGTGCTCTCTCCTTCCTTCTGAGTATTTAATTTTCTTTCAGCCTTTTGAGCTACTGTTCAGCTGTTTGTTTGTTTTTTCTAATTTCAGCATATTTTTTTTGTTGCTAATTTCCTACTTGTGCTAATTTCTTCTTATTTAAACCTAATTCAGCAAATATGTGTTCTTTCTGCTTTCTTCTGTTAGCTTAGGCTTGGTCTTCCATTTCAGCATGTTTTTTTTAGCTACTTTCAGCTGATTTCAGCAAGTTATTTTGCAATAAGCATTCACACTGCATTTTCACAGGAAATGCAGTTTATCGTCTTTTATTTATTTAAACCAGTCTCAACAAATTTTAGACTAATATCTATAAAGTTTCACTGAATTATGACAAGTTTTTGTTTACTAAGTTTGATCAGCTGTGGCAGCCATTTTTATTTGAACTGACTCTAAAAGGTAATCAGTTGTAAATGTTTATCCAGTCATTACATCCTGAAGGTTTTATTACAATCCGTCCAGTGGTTCACGAGATATTTTGCTAACAGACAGCGTTGTGTTTTAAATAAATGTTATTCATATGAACACCATAATAAATATACACGTAAAAAGCTACTTTTAATGTGAAAAGTTTCCAGAACAAACAACCTGTCATGGAGTCGTGTCTTCTTCCTTGGTGTAACATTTTAAAGGGATGGTTCAAATCTTTTCAAATGGGGTTCTGTGCACAGGTTATGAACAGTAACTGTCTTACCTGTTGTAGATAGCTCTTAAAACATTAGTTTGGAGAAACAGAGTATGATATGGACCAGAATGATGAGCTAACAGGAAATCAAAGTGAAGCTAAGACAAACTGTTTTCAAATAATTAAAATATTAAAATTACAATTTTATGCGGAAGCCATTTTATCGACATTTACACCTTCACCAGTTTTTTCATTTTACGGGTATTCCCTCAGAAACATAACGATGTTCCTGCAGGAAGTGGCCCAGGCTGCACAGGAAGTGCTACAGCTGCTGTTTGAAGATTTATACAATAACGTGCACATAAAATATTTAACTTCTTTAGACTGGTTTTCTTTTAAAACAGCATCAATCCCCTTTGGTCTAGGGCTTGTTCCGACTAACCATTAGCTCATCAGCGTGGTTAAAAATCAAACACTATTTTTATCTGCAGCAGGTAAGATGTTTACCGTGCAAAGGGCAAAGATGGCCGCCTCAGCTAAGACAAAAACGGCTACCGCTCGGTCACTTTTACAGACACTGAGATCACATTTGATGTGGTAGTAGCTGAGAGTTATCTCTGAACATACACTCTGAGGGCTAACTAATTGTGCAAGAGGTTTGTTTAAACTTCGGCATGAATTGTTAGTCACCTTTGTTCGTCTGTTAGCAAAATATCTCATGAACTACTGGGTGAATGTTGATGAAACTCTCAGACAGTGATCACAGGATGAACGTCTACAACTGGTTACGATTTGGAGCCAGCCCCATGCAAAATGGCCGCCACAGCTAATCAAACTTAGCAACCACAAAAACAGCCATAATTCAGTCGATTTTAGAGCTGGGATTTGGTGTGGTAGCAGCCAAAAACTGCTGGTTTCAAATGGTTTGACTGTCGGAACAAAACCTTAAAGCGGGTGAAGGAAACAGAGCAGCGCGAAACGATAATCCACCGACTCGTTTCCCATTTCTCTGTTTTACATCCTCTGCCTCCTGACGCCCTCCTTCCCTCTCACTCGCTGCTGGATGGGTTTTTTTGTTTGTCAGGGCAGGGACGGCCTGGACTGGCACAGACTGGTTCTAGGTGGACGAGTGGGGTGGGGGGAGGAAGAGACAAAGAGGGGCCTCCCCCTGTGATAGGTTTATAGTGGGTGTGTGGGGGGGGGGGGGGGGGCTGACAGAAACACAGACTTGAAGGATCCAGAGGGAATACAAAGAGCACGGCGTGTTTCAGTGTCTGCGAGTATCCCATGGTTCCTGCTCACATTAAAGAGTCCTTGAGTCTAATCCCCACAGATTACACCTCCCTGACGGGCAGATTATCGGTGTTTCTGCGTCTTTGATTTAGGGGCGGTTCACATTTTTCAACAGTTTTGCAAGCGTTCGAAACTTACTCTTTTTGGAGACTGAAAAACCCAACAATGTTCAGTCAGGTCATCTGGATGGTTTCTTGGTTGCTGAGACCTTCATCCAAAGGACTTCTTCAATCGGATGAGCCACCAAACTAAACTGATTCCCACAAACAGCTCACTCCATCGTAGGAAAAAACCAGTTTGTTGGTGCTAAGATGGCCTCCGGGACCCGCCCTCTTCCCCGTCAACTCCTCTGGTGGAGTATGCTGTTTGTGGGAATCTGTTTTGTTTGGTGGTTCCTCGGAATGAAGAAGTCCTTTGGATGAAGGACGAAACGTCTTAGCTTTACAAAGAAACCGTCCAGATGACCTGACTGAACATTGTTGGATTTTGTACCTGGATTATTGAACATGACCTTTGGCGTATAAAAAATTTTGACCACTAAACGTGGTGGATATAAATATTCTTTCATTATCGACTTACTTCAAAAGAGCCGCACACGAAGATAGAAGATTTTTTTTAACCCAGTTTATTTGCAAGAGTAGAGCTCACGCAGGCTGGCACAGATTGAAGTCCTGGTCGTGAAGATCTGCACCGGACTGTGTGCGGGAAGTGTTTTTATAATGCTTGTCAGCACGATGACCTCGGCCTCCACCTGCAGGCTCAAAAGAACTCTCTGAGCTCAACATTAATTTAACATTAGCAGTGATAAACCTTTCTTTAAAATCACCTGACAACACCTTTTTTATTATAAGTAAAGTTGAGAAGTATCCCCGTGTGCTTACATATTGTACTACGGTAAATAATCGTCAGTCCATATTTGTACACGCCTCTAATCAGTTTAAAACGTACATATTCTGACGTGACGGCCTTAAACTGACTCACAGAGACAACTTTAAGTTTGGGGGATAACAAAGTAAAGCTGAGCAGACACATCTTTGTTATAATCTGGACTATAAGAAACTTTTGCGTGTTTGTGTAAATATCGTTAAACTATAAGAAGTAAAGCAGCAGAAACACGAGTCTCGCAGCGATACTCAAACAGGCTGCGCGCTCTCTGGACGACCAGGAGTTTGGTCACATGTGGACATTGTATGTTTGCCATGCGGGAGAATGTCAGTTATGGAGGGCGTATCTAAAAAAAAAATAACGTTCTTTTTTTCCATTTTGAAAAACGTACACCAGTCCTTGACCCCGCCCCCTCCAGGAGCATGCTTTGCACGCTTGAGACGTCAAAGAAAACTAACCCCTCCGTGGACGCCTCACTGTCTTCCTTCCCTCTGACCGCTGCAGGTTCTCTCCAGGCCACTCGCGCCCTGATGATAGTCGGCATCATCGTGTCCATCTCGGGTCTGGGCGTGGCCTGCATGGGGATGAAGTGCACCACCTGCGGGGGCAGCGACAAACTGCGCAAGGCCCGCGTTGCCATGACGGGCGGCATCGTTCTTCTGGTAGGAGGTGAGGATACGGAGGAGTTCAACAGGTGTCCAGCCTCGATTCTTGAAAAAGTTGTGCGAACGTAAATAAAACCAGAATGAGACGAATTTCAAATCTCATAAACTCATTTTACTCTCGGTGAATCGTGGTAAACGTATTAAATGTTTAAATTTACAAATTTTACCATTTTGAGGAAAAAAAGGGCAGCAACACATGTTCAAACTGTTCCAGCTCCGTGTTTCTCATTGTGAAGCGTCCTTTCTTCTTTTAATAACGTCCAGGACCTGAGGGCACCAGCTGCTGGGGGGTTGTGGGGGGGTTGTCCCATTCTGGTCTGATAGAAGATTTTAGCTGTTGAATAGTTCTGGGTCCGCTTTGCTGGATCCTTTTTTTGCCATATGGGAGCACATATTGTTCTGAAGCCGGTTTAAAGTTTTTTTCGTTGTTGGAGCCTTTCCAGATGAGTAAACTGCCAAAATGAGAAGTACTAATGCACCCCCATACCATCAGAGAGGCAGCTTTCAAACTGTGCACTCATATCAGGCTTGGTGGTTCCTCTTCAGTATGGAGGATGTTAGTGGTGTGCGATTGTGCAAGTTTTGGTTTTGATTAGATACTAAATAAATAAGGGCCAGTATAGCCAATATAAATACCGATACCGATACTTTGACATAATTAAAGTGGATGAATCATATTGCTGAATCTGAATAAAATTTACTACCCTTGAGTGTTTTTTTTTTTTTTTAAACCACTTAGATTATTAAAGAAATTCAATCCAGTACAAACTGGACAAAGTTTATAGACTTTTATTGTGTTAGGGATGAAAATACAACACGGCGAAACCACATCTGCTTAAACTGGAACTAAAGTCCAACCGTGTTCAGTCAGGTCATCTGGTCGGTTTCTTTTTTTTTAATTTTTGTAACTGAAACGGTTTAGTTTTTTATTTTTAACTAAAGTATTGATACCTGAGCATGCGTCAAAGTATTGATACTATTACACTAATATTTGATATTGATACTTACCAAGGTATCAATATTTGGATCCATGCAGCGCTGGAGGGCGTGGCCTCTGTGGTTTTAGTTCAGTGAGCTTCAGTCCAGAGAAGACTGCAGCGTTTCTGGAAGCTCACATCTGGCTTGTTCTTTGCCTGATAGAGCTTTAAGCAGCATCTGTGGACGAACTGTGTTTACAGACAATGATCTGCGGAAGAGTTCCTGAACCCAGAACAGAACCAGTCCCGGATTTCTACAGATTATTCTACCTGTTGATGAAGTTGTGAACCCAGAA